AGCCTTGTAAACCACCACATGGAATACATTTGCTCATATACATGCATGTGTATTTATGCACTGAGATCAAGCTCAGATACTGGTAAGTCTCCAGCTTGTAGATTCACCAGGACAGACCTGTGGCAGAAGCCTGCTTTTTAGCCTCTGTGGATCCAGCTGCCTTGGCCTGCTCATGGGGGTACTTACAACTCCACTCTGACTTCATTCCTCTTTGTCCTAAATGGACCTCCTGAGCCAGCCCAGCTGACTTCTCCATGTCTGGCCCCCAGCTTGCCTTGCCCTATTCCACTTCGCTGCTGCCTTCTTTCTGGATTTTTGCTTTCTCTGAAACCCCCACTTCCATCTCTCATTTCTGTCCATTCCAAATCCTACCCATTCTTCAAAACCCAACTCAAATTCTAGCTCCCCCTGGATGTCTCCCCAGAGGACCTCACTTTGAAATGATATCTACCTCATTTGAACACCCATGTATGTCACCCATATAGCATTTAGGCATTTATCACTATCACTTTTTATTGTAGTTATATAAATACATATCAAAGATACGAACTTCTTAAGGGGGTAGGGAATAAGCCTTACATGTCTTTGCCTATTGTGTACAAGGCATTGGGCCAAATGGTGGAGGATGAAATGCCTGTTGGTTGAGTGAGTGAATAAATCTGTGTTTATACCAATATTTACTGAGTAAGTACGATGGGCCAGACCTAGTCTTAGATACTGAGGTTACAGCAATGAACAATGCATCCTCAAGGAACTTGCATGGCAGCTCATAGACAGACAATGAATAAGAAACATGCATTCATGGAGTTCCAGTTTGTGATAAGGCTGGAGGGACATGATAGTACAGGGGGCTCCAGGGATGGGTGGTCAGCCAAGGCCCCTTTGAGAAGCTATGTGTGGGCTCTGATTTGAAGAACATCAAGGAGGTAGCCTTCCATAGAGCCGGAGGAAGAACGTTTAAGGCAGAGGGAAAAGCTAGTGCAAAGTTTCAAGGCCAGAAAGGAGGCTATGTGGCTAGAGCCCAGCGATGGCATGAGAGGAGGGAAGGGAGGCAGGCAGGGGTCCCGACATGCTGAGCCTGTGTACCATGGAGAGGAGAAGGGCTTATTCTAAATGCAATGGGGTGTCACTGAAGAGCTGTAAACAGGGGAGAGGCATTTTATGGTTATTGTGTGGAGAAGGGATTATTGTGGGGAGTCAAAGGATAAACAGGCAGGCAACAGCAGTCGTTTGGGCAGGCTGGAGTCAGCTGGCTGTGGGTGGCAGTAAAGAGGGAGATGTATTTGAGATGTATCTTGAGGGCTGAAGACAGGGGCCAAGGAGGGACTGGATGTGGGGTAAGGAATGCAGAGAGGCTTCTCTGGGGCAGTGGTACAAGAGGAGAGATTCAGGTGTGTGCTCGTGTGACATCAGTTCTCGCTCAGCACGTGACTGACTGGCTTTCTGCTTTGACTGTTTCATCAGTATTGTTCAAGGTGAGTAGGGAATGCTGCCAGTTGGCTTCTTTGTTGAGTGGCTGGCTAGGAGCCAAGGACTTCTTGGCTTGAAAAGACAGTTCTTTGGCACATGCAGAGTGCGGGGGGCAGATAGGACTCTTCCCTCCTCTGCTTGTTCATAGGGTGTCTTCTTGCACCTTTGCAAGGCTGTGCAGGAAGACCCGGCAGGTATGATTCAAGGTCCCTGGGCCTTTGGACATGACTGCAGGCTCACCCTTTTCCTGGGATGAGCAGAAATAAGACGGTGATGATGGTGGTGGTAGGAATGATGCACGTAGTAACCACTTAAGTGGTTAATGATATACCAAGCCGCATTAGATCACCTATATTACTTTATGCCATTTGTAAGGGTGGAAGGCAACTGAGCCTTAGAGAGGTGAAATAACTTGCCCAAAGTCACACAATTATAAAAGCAACAGAGGCAAGCACTGAACCCAGGCTGTCTGGTTCCAATCCCCATTCACTGACTGCTGGCCTACCCTGCCTTCTTCTGATGTGATTATAATAACTTTGGGTGACATATGCCTTCCTGACTTGATCACACTTGTCCTATGACCTGTCCACACAGACCACACATAGCCAAACCATCCACCCTGCCAGACCTGTCTGCTCATGGCCCTTGTCTGAGGCTACCCCAATTGAGAATGTGTGAAAGCAGACAGTAGCTCTGCCAGGGAAAATTAGGGCAGGCCTACTTCTAAAGGTCACATTTTATACTTGGGTAGAAAATTCATCCAAAGCCACACCTTTGCATGAGAACTAAGGAAGCAGAGTAAGGATATAATGTCAACAGGCAATAATAACATAGTGTCAATAGACAAGATTGTGGCTGGCTTGGGGTTTACGCCAAACCAAATGTCTCCCTGCTCCTGGGAGGCACAGAAGGGAGTTACCGTTGGTGGAGAGACCTGCTTTCCCTTGTCTGGCATCAGATACTGCTTGTTTACTTCACAGCCACTTCTCCTTTTCATCATCACTGTCATCACACATGAATTGGTGGTGGTGGAACCGTGCATTTCTGTAGCCTCAGTGATTTGAGTAGATTGGAGAAAACTAGAAAATTGTATGATTTCAATGTCTTTGGAAGTAGGTTTAGAGAGTGGCTTTAGAATTATTTGAAAGTCTGAATGGCTTTTGCAAAAGTTCCTCATTTGCCAAAGGCTCTAATTTTCTCAGGCCCAAATATAGAATTAAAATCCAACTCAAACCACTGTCTCTACTTCTGACTTGAGTCCTGGTCTTAGGGTGAAAAATGATGAAGTAGCTGCTTTTGGGGAATAAGCTACTTATCCATGCCATATAAATGAATACTTCTGGCTTTTATGACAACGTATAATTTTTAATCCCATATGACATATTATTATACTATTATTAACATAGTAGGCTTCCTCAACTTCTTTCTCAGAAAAAGATGGGACATAAACACATAAAAATAAATGAAATAACACATGTAGCAGTGTTACAAGTCCAAAAAAGGGGTATCAGCTGCACAGGAGAAGCAAATCCTAATGTGTGAAAGCCTATTCCGTACGCGGGTACCTTTTGGTACCTGAATACCATTTAGCAAAGCTTTCTTTAAGTAAGGATTCTTAATGTCCTTGCAAGACTAATTCACTATTCAAAAGAGTGGTATTTTCATTCTGAGCATAAATACTCAATTGGAGTCACCTTTCTGCAAAAAGCATGTGTAAATATGTAAACTGGCTGAGACACAGGGCTTAACTGTACTGTCTCCAAGGATGGGTGAATGGAACTGTATGTTCTGTTTAACAAATAGTTATGAGTTCTGTTCTGGTTATCTACTGCTGTGTAACAAACTACCTTCAAGCTTAGTGGATTAAAACAACAATATTTTATTATTTCTCAGAGTTCTGGGGACTGATGGGCACAGCTGGGAGGTTCTTACTAGGGGTCCCTTATATGGTTGCCATCAAATGGCAGTAGAGGCTGGTATTATTTGAAGGCTCCTTTACTCATATTTCTGGTGCCTGGGCTGGTTGGGAACCTCTTTTTCTACATGGCCTCTTTACATGGCTAGCTTGTGCTTCCTCACAACATGGTGGTCTCAGTAGTTAGGCTTTTTTACATAGCCAACTGCTGTGAGAGACCAGGTGACTTCTGCCTCCAGGAGACCCAAGTGGAAGCTGCAAGGCTTCTTATGGTCCAGGCTTAGAAGTCACTCAAGTAACACTTCTGCCAAAATCCATTGTTTAAAGGGATCACAGACCAGCTATGCCCCAAACATATTAGGTTAGAATTGGTCTACTGATCCAGAATTAGTGTTTTTGAATTTCCTGGAAAATATACCAGGGTAGGGGTGAAGATGCAAGATCAAGGAACTAAGACGCTGCTTTTCCAAAGAGCTTGTGTCTTTCTGGGTTTGGGTTTGAGGTTGCACAGGGTAGTGGGCAGGGGCACAGGCCCTGGAGCCTGCTGCACCCATCATCACCACTTACTAGCTGCAGGAGCTCAGGAGAGTTTCCTTAACTTCTCTGTCCTTGTTCTCTCTTCTGTAGAATGGAGATATGAACTGCATCTACATACAGGGTTGGAATAGGGAGTTAATGTATGAAAAGCACTTAGAATAGCACCTGGCGTATAGTGAGAGCCATCTAAGTGTTTGCTAACATTGCCATTAGTGGAAGCCATCAACAAAGTGGTGGCATTATTGTTTCATGACAATGAAAGTAATTGAAAGAGCAGGTGTATTATGGGTAAGCTTTGTGTTTCCAAAATTTCCTTTAAGGTTGTTGTTATATTGTTTTAACAACAGCAGCAACAACAACAAAAAACCGTATCTCATTATAATGTTGATGTTGAGGTACAACGATAATTATACCACTATATCTTCTTGTGCAGATGGGGAAGTTCTCCACTGTCCCCTAGGGATACAACTGGACCCACAGAACACGTGATGCTGGACTCAGTGAGGTACTCATAAAGGGTTTCGCATCATAAACTAAGAGCAGGATCAGTCCCTGAGATGGTCAGACAGAAGTTGGGGCAGGTGGTCCATCTACTGAGGTGAATGGAGAGCCTGCACTTGGAACCACAAGACCTGAGTTGGCTTTTGGGTGTAACTTTTAGCCGTGTGATATTGGGCAAGTCACTTAAGGCCTTGGGCTTGGTTTATATAACTGTAAAACAGGGATAGTAATTCCAGCCTACCTTACAGCACTATGAAGTCCAAATGAGAAAGGAATGGGAAGGACTTTCACAACTGTTAATTTTTTAAAAAATAACATCCATATTCCAAGGGTCTGGAAAAGTCTATTTTCTCTACACATTCCCCCACCCTAACTCCCCCACCCCATACCCCTATGCACATTGTCTTCCTGGACTTGAGCTCATTTAAGCTAAAATTTTGACTTCTATTGATATGAAAATATACTTGAGGTATAGGACATTTCATTCTAGAGGTTATTCTAAAGGAGGTATTTTGGAGTGACTTTAGAGGACAAAATATGCATATACTGGGCATCTGAGGGAAGAAATGGGTATAAACAGGAAAAGATGGCAGGTAAAACATTTTACTAATTAGTTGGTCCAGGACTAGTGAAACTAAGATTATGTGGCCTAAGAAACTGCTTTAGAATGCAGTGGTCAGAGTGGATGGTAGGAGAGGCCTTTGTTCTCATACAGACCTGGATCCAAACCCTGGCTCTGCAAGTTACTTGACCTTTCAGAGCTGCAACTTTCCTGGCAATAGAAGAGGGCAATAACACCAGTACCCCGGGTTATGAGGACTTAAAGAGTTGGGGTAGAAAACACCTGACACTTAAACTGATACCGAGCCGTGCAAGGAAGGCTTACCAGGAATTTCCGTTTCTGCTTCCAGTGGCTGCCTTGGGCATTGGTGGCCACGTGGGCTTCAGTGACAGTTTTGATAAGCTCCCATTCCTCGTCTGTGGGCTCCGGCTTGTGCCCAATGGATTTCTGCAGCTCTTCCCGCCGTCTCTTCTCCCGGTTCTCCTCTATCAGCTTCCTCTTGGCCAGCCTCTTGCTGTCATCCAGCACCACTGGGAGGGGGAGAAAGGTGAGCAAAGGCACACAGACCAAGACCTATGGCAGACCACAGCCCTGGAGCCCTCGTGGGTCTCGCGGGGTGGGTCACACTGGGGCATTCCCCTCCTCACCAGCAAGTTGCCATCGACTAGACATTGTCCAACACGAGCTCTGGTGCCAAACTCCCCACACCCAGCCAGCTTTTCAAAACAAAGCCCTGAGGGGACTTGGCCACTGGGCACCCCAGCTCCACAGAGGGTGGCCCTAAGACAGAGGGAGCAGAGGGAGGCGAAATCCATACTACCTGCAGGATCACAGATAAATCTGTCTAGCCCGTCATCTCATTCACTCTCGGAATTTCTGTCCTCCCCTCCTCCCTTAAAATGGTGCTTAGGGAGGAGAACCTCAGATTAAAGAAAAGTTACAGAGCAGGAGATGGGAAGCTCATGATCCCCTCCTCAGAGGAGAAAGGACCCAAGCTCTTCATGGCTCCCCTACGGGCTACTGGAATGTGGATGGGCCTCTCCTGGGCCACACAGGTACTTGCTTTGCATTGCTCTCTGCCTGGTCAACCGCCAGTGGCAGTTACAGAGCCCAGGCTGTGGAAGCTAGAAAGACTTGGGTTTGAATCCTGATACCATCACATTCTAGCTGTGTGACCTCTGGCAAGTTCCTTAGGCTCTCTGAGCTTTCATTTCTTCCTATATAAAATGGGATCAATAATATCCACTTCACAGGGTATTCAATGTTATAATGCACTATAAACGCTCAGTAAATGTAGTCATGACTTCTATCTTTGGGCAAAAGGAAAATAAGAGGGCAGATAGCAAGAAACCTATATTTCTGTGGTTCATTTCCAAAACAAAACCATTTTACTAGACTTTTGGTAACTATTAATGGAATAGAAAGGCTCAGGTTTTAAATTACAGAGTCATAGTATTTTAGAACTGGAAGAGACCCTAGATATTATCTAGTCCAACTGTCTCCTTTCACAGAGGAGGAAATTGATCCAGAGAGGTTGTGACTTGCCTAAAGTCACACAGCAAGTTCCTGGCAGAGCCAAGGCAAGACCCAGGACTCCTGACTCCAGTTCTACCCCATCATTGTCCTAGGGCTATTTCCTGATGAAGGTGTGACCTGGTAGGAATAGAAAAAAAGCAGACAGAGCAGGAGGAAGAGAACCAAAGTGCCCGGCTAATCCACAAATAGAATGTTAAATCCCAGATCAACTAGATTTTATTGGATTATCAAAGTCATGTGAGCATCTACAAATGTGGACAATATGAGTGAGTTAAGTCATTTTGGTTCATTTACTAAAGGGAGAGGAAGAATAGGTAATCACATCCATAGCCCCATTTCCCCAGTGCTTCCAGTGTGCCAGGGAATGTTGCATTTAATGTGCGTTACCTAATTTAATCCTGAAAACAACCCTACAGGGTGGCAATGATTTCACAGAAAGGAAACCTAGGGCTTAATTCTGAAGGTCACAGAGCTAGTAAGTGACAGATCTGGGACCAGAACAGAAGTTTTTCTGGTTATAGAGCCTGAGCTCTTATAATGCCTCACAAGCAAGTAAGGGGCCCTGTCCTGTTCCACATAGATCTATTTCCACACAGTCTAGACTAACACTGAGTTTTTTTTTTTAACTTCATAAACACTCATATCTTAAACTTCAAAATCAAACAGTGAGATGGATCTTCAATAATACCACTTCATTATCATGACACAGCTAAGCATTTGGCTCTAAGTCAATCATATTCACCTGTCCTCTTTCGGCATGTTGTTGGCAAGGGCTGGAAGCCTTTAATAGATAAAGAACAAACTCAGCCAGAGGTTGCGACTAACCCAGGATTTCCAGCCTAACACCCTAACACACCCTCTTCCTTTTTCAAGATTCCTCATTCTGTCTTCTTTAATGGGACATTAAAGGACATTCCACACATATTTTTTTGTTTTTGCTGAAAAAACACTATCATATAAATATAAGCCATGATTATTTCCTTTCATCAGGAAAAATCCTCATTGCATTTTCTTTTTTTCTTTCTTTCCTTTTTCCCTTTCATTTTTTCTTTTTTAGCTAACAGTTGGAATCTCTCACTAATATGCAAAAAATTTATGCCAATAGAAACCACTAACATCGATGCCTGGCAAAAGGCAGGCCACACATTCTGAATGACATGATTCTTATTTTTATGATTAGATTAATTAAAGTGACTGGTGTGCATTTCTCACACAGGGGAGAAGAGACCCCAGGGCTAACCTCACCACCATATGCTATAGCACTTTGAAAACTGGGTAGGACAGCTTCAGCTTTGAATGTCTTTATTGCTAAAAATATAACAAACAACCAACTGCAGGATGACTCATGCAATAGCACTCAACTTTGCATTCTTCAGAAATTTCTGAACATGATGTTTTCTGCCAGTGCCCCATCTCCAAAAATGTCCATGAAATGAATTCCTGTCTCTGCTTTAGAAAAAATGTTAGGACTAGCCCGTGAGGCTCTCACCACATGAATGCTGGGTGTGAACCTCTCATTTGTAACCTCTGTCATAAAGAGAGTGCTGCTGACTGTCAGTCCTGCAAACATGATGGGGTAATTTAACTGATTTTCCTCCCCCGTCATGTATGGGTACTTTGAGAGTTAGGAGTCGATAAGGGAGGGGTAGGATGGAAACCACCCAGCAATGGCTCCCACCTCGCTTTCAGGGCAAGCCTGGATGCGGAGAGTGAGGGGTGATCGGGAAAACAAGGTATTCCCCTCTGTGTCCACGCCTATTCCTGCCTTCTTTTCTGCCTGGTTGATCTCCCTGAACCAAACACTTTCCCAATCGACACTCCTTGAATATGAAGCAAATGAAGGTCTACTTACAATCTGTTGCCATGCCAACATAGATGCATTTTTTAAAGCGACATTCCTGGCACTGATTTCGCGTGACTTTGTCTATGACACATTTTCCTTCATATTTACAGGAATAGGAGGGATGGAGATTTTTCTGAATGGTTCTTCTAAAGAAACCCTACAAGAAAAAGAAAGACCCAAGAAAATAGTTTGATATTTTAGAGAAATACATGATTCCAGAATTTTGTGTCCATATAAATACGAGATGAATTGTCCTGGACCTTAACCTATATCTGGACCTCTAGCTCCATGTACTCAATGTGGGACAATGGGCCCAAAGGGATCTAGAGAATTCTAAATCTGATCTGAAGGACTCAGGATCAAAGGACTACAGAGTCAATGCCTTTTCCAGCATTCATTGAAGGAAAAGAGGCCAATAGGAAAATCTAGTGCTTGCTTTTATATTTTCCTATATTATTTATTTATGTATTTAATATTTACATTTTCTATCTTATTTATTCCTTACATTATTGAATCATATAAATAAATTATATTGTTTTGTTTCATAGTGTCATAATTATGTTGCTAAATTAAATTATAAGGAGCTTTGCTACTTTATACTGGGAAATAATAGAGCCAGATCCAAGACCAAAAAATAAATAAATAAATAAAAGAGCTAGATATTTGTAATACTGTATTAATTAACAATTTAATCATTTGGTAATTAAATAGATGCATTAACTGCCTTTAGAGATTTAGTTTATTTCTTGTTTTTCACTTTTGAGATGGCCATAACTAGTTCACTTAGCCTTTTAAACAATAGTACTTGGGGAGTAGAAAATTCCATGTTTTGTACCAAATTTTTTCCATAGGTCATTGCATTGGGATATTTCCTTTCATAGCACTCTTTCTTTCTAGTGTCTGTAGACACACACCTACAAGTTCAATATATTTCTTCCTTTCTTAAGGCACTAGAGAGTGCCACTGTAGTGTCTGAAGACACTATTTAGTTCTAGGATTGGGTGATTTATATAATATTTTCAAGGGTGTGCTACATTAGAACCTTTCTGGACATGACCCCCAAGTCTTGGCAACTGCAGTCTGTATTGTAGAAAATTATTAATAATAACAGCAGCAAGCACTTATTGTGAGGGGCACATTGCAGAGTACTGTAGATGCATTCCATATCCCTCTGTCTTCCCCAAAACCTTAGAAGGGAGGTGCTGTTAACATCTCCATTGTAGGACTGAAAAAACTAAGCTCAGACAGGTTAAATTACTTGCTCCAAATCACATGCTAAGTACATGCCGGACCTTGGCCCGCAACCTAGGAGTCACACTCCAAATCTCATTTATGTAACAGCTTATATGATATAAAATAAAGAAAATTTTACTGTATTATTTAAATGTTTTAGATGAACAGATTTTAAATAGTCCTCTCTCAGTCACCCCTCAAAACACACTTCATTCTGTTTTGGTACAATAGCAAAGCAAAACAAGTTTTGATAGATGTCCTCTGCTAAAGCTCAAAGAGGACTCTAACTTTGTTCGTTAAATACCAGTTGACCTAGATCAGCCCAAATTTTTATCACCCTGTTTAATTTTCTTTGGCTCTGATTATGTACACATACCCACTTGCATATTCCTCACTCAGACACAAAAGTTCTTCCTTATGATGAAAAGGTCCAAGGTAGGATTTTACGTTGGGCAAAGCAGAATAAAATGGGAAAATTCCAGGAATAACTGAGACAAATGCACTCGATTTGGGGGCATGTGTGTAAATCACTTGTCATTTCCATTGTTCGAGTTCTAATAGCAAAACTCGTATTTTATTTTAGTTTTACATCCATCAGTTTGAATGATGTTGATGTACTGTTATAAGATTCACTATCACACATGGGGCAGTTATTCGAGAGGTTTTCCTGGGTGTTCAGGCAAATCCTGCCAAAGCATGACTGCCAGAGCATGCCACAAGGGTGAAATCCAAACTTCTCTGTGAACCTCCCTTCTCCACCTCTGTTGTCCTCTGCCCAAGGAAGGCAAAGGAGGGCAAAAGAAACCCAGAGATTCCCAGCAAGAAGATGTGTGTCACAGACAGGGAGGAGAGGGGCAGGGGAGCACACCTCCTCTGGGGGAGGCAACGTTTCCCTCAAGGTGGAAATGCTGCAGTCCAAGACGTCCAGCAAGCATGTCAACTGCTGCTATAAGGATAGGAAGGCTGTTAGTCTATCTGAATTTGGGGAGACCCTTATCTCTCTCATGTCCTGATGCTGACCCATGTTCTGGTGTGGGGGGCAGGGCAAGGCAGGGATCATATTGAAGAGTCAGACTATGCTTAGAAAAAAATGAGGTGTGAGAGACCAGACACAAGGGTAACACCTACTTCTTCAAAAGGGCTACTCTGTGCACTTTTTATTGGAATGAATGAAATAATTTATACTTCGCTGATTTCAAAAAAAGAGGTGGCTAGCTCTACTATTCATCGTGCCATCTTTTCCGTGGCCTACCTCTGATGACTTTTCTTGGGCACTTCATGAACCAAATCCCTTTTAAGACATTGGCTTCCCCTAAGCTATAACAAAGCATATTTTGACATGTGATAAGGAACTGCTTCATTTGAGTAAATGTAAAGATGCCAGGTCCCTTAATTTTAAAAAGTGACAAAAATTAACTCCTGAAAGTGAACTTGAATAGAAGACATCTAAAACAGTCTACTTATTTAAAAAAAAAAACAACCCTTTAGAGGTGAGCTGACAAAAGAGATGCTTCAGAGAATAAATAAGGACATATATTTCGTTGATGATTTATTGTTGAGCAGAGGTCTTACTTTTATAAAAATCAATGTCAGACATGTTTCTTGGCATCCTGAAAAGAACTGGATCCATTTTTTAGTGCTTTGAGATGGTGAACTAACCCCTGTGATAAGAAGCTAAGTCACTCTCCTAGTTCAATCTTTGGGCAGCTGTTAAAAAGCTTTGAGAGTCTTCCTTAAAAAATGGTTTACTGTGGGACAGTGTTAATATTCTTTCTATAAGAGATACATAAAAATTGGCACATTGTAATAGGGAAGACATCTCCAAAAGATTTCACGTTGTCAGGGCAAAAATGGGCAGAAAAGAGTCTCCTCATACACATTGCAAGTATGGGGTAGAAATATTTTTAAATTACAGGTTTGAATAAACAATATATGAAGCAGAACCTTCTCATATTTCACCACTCTTTTTTATTTCAAAGCATTACGGGGGTACAAATGTTTTCAGTTACAAGGATGGCTTTTGTAATGGTTGAGACAGAGTTATAAGTGCGCCTGTTACCCAGATAGTGTTCACTGTACCCATTAGGTAGGTTTTCACCCCTCCCCCTCCTCCCCCTCCCCCATCATTGATTTCCATTGGGTTATACTTCCCTCTATGCACATGTGTGCTCATCGGTTATTTCACCGCTCTTAAAAACTGTGTTTCATTTGAAAAACTCTTTTGTCTTTTTCCAAGATCCTTTCTCATTATATTAAATGATCTACATAACCATTCTTTTCTGATTTTATATGAAAGCATCAAACAGGATTCTGATCTGAGACAAAGGCACAGGGGCTGAGAAATCTAGCTTTTTGCTATATGATTTTTTTCTTTTAAGAAAATCTCTGTTTAATCAGCCCCCAAACATCCTGCAATCTTGGGAGAAGAGGCGAGTTGATTTCTTGATCACAATGAAGACATCTGTGAGGCACGGACACCGGTTAATAGGCTCCATTCTCCCTTTGTTTAAGTCAATTGCTAATAATGCATTAAGTCTTCTGTAAGGCACATTCACTCTATAGAGTCATTTTTGGGAATAAAGTATCAAATGGAATTTTCAATAGAGTCTCTCCCAGAATTCAAAATTCACCATTAGAAACTGATTTAAAAGAATTTCAGCGCTGTATAATCAGGTAGGTAAAGCCTTATGAATTGAGGCTAATTTTGAAAAAAGGCCAGTTTGAATTACTGAGCTTTTGGAATGAGAGAATATACCTAAAGTTATGTAGTTTTATTAATTTCAAGTCAAGCCCATAAAATTATGCTTTCAAGAGACAGTCTGCAAGTCTCCTAATTAATCAATAGCCAGGACTTGTAATTAGTTTCATTAAATTCCTTAAGACATTATTTTCGTAGATGTAATGGCAATCTTTAGTCCAATCTTTGTTAAAGGACTATGAATTCCAGATCAAAGGGGTCTGGATGAATGAGAACACATTACGTCTTATTCTAAAAACAGTCTTGCAAATATAAGGACTTGGAACTTTAGACATTACCTCTTTCGAATGGATATATCATCTCAACAGGGAATTGACACGAAAAATCTTCCACTGGGAAAATGGGGCACAACAGTGGTTTGAAACTGAGCTACCTAGTTGATTTTTGGGGTTTAGGAGCAAGGGCAGAAAGGGAGTGGTGGAGGAAGGGAAGAGGAAAAGAGGAGGTCACGTGGGTGAGGGAGGAGGGAAGATGGAATTGTTTTATAAATTTTAATACAATTTTTGCTTTAGGGTTTATATATTTTGAAAATTTAGTTTTAAATATAGAGGATAAATGAAACATTTAACAGGAAAGCAATTTTAAAAGTCCTTCCCTGACTTTAAATACTTTCTCATTTATAAAGCATTAGCTGAACACTGGATACAGCACTGGGTTGAGCTTTATTTACCTGTATGCTAGACTTCATTTACCAGGCTAGGTTGTTGGGCTAAAAGACATTTTCCAGAAAGCATATCTTAATTTTGTTGATGAAGATTGTAAGTAGGCAAATTTAGGCTCCCTTTCGGGAAGTGAATGGACTAGTCCATTCTTGTCAAGTACTTCCTGAAGATGGGTCTGTAGAGCATAAATTAGCCAATGGACAATGAGAATCTTATTGACTGCAGGCTGTACAGAAAGCCAATTTGGATAATTTCAGAACATAATTGAATCTAAGTGGCCTCAAAAATATTCCCTACTGGAACCCTTAATAGTGAGCATATTCACTCAGATTAAGGGTGGAAAACAGCTTGTGGTAGAGTACGCTCTGTCTCCTCAAACACTGTAGGTAAAACAGGAAGAGAAACAGTAATTTCTTCGGATGATAACATGTCGAAAAGATCTATGCTTTTTAAACCCATGGTAAAAGTTAGTTCCTTTTTATTTTATTGATTCTCTTTCTGTTTTAAAAACACTTGCAGAGGTAAAGAAACCAGACATCACGCTCTCATAAACTTTGTTTAGCTATTTATGATTTGGAAAAAAAATTCGGTTCTTGAACATGTCAAAAATGAAGAGCACAATCAGATACCTGGATGATCACAGCCATGGATATTAGAATTTGGTTTTAATTTGAACTTGAACGTAATGTTGCATTCTAGTAGGACCTTGGGCAGGGGTAGGGGAGGGGGGGGACGAGGGCTGGGCTGGGCTTCTCTGTGCTCGTGAACCCAGAGTAATTACCTTGCAGCCTTCACATGTGATGCAGCGGTAGTGATACCCGGTGGCTTTGTCACCGCACACTACACATAGCTCGTCCTTGTCCAGGTAACTGGGGATGTACCCTGTGAAGGAGATAAAAAGAGGAATGTGAAATACCAGTGTCAAATTAAAGTCAAAGATACACTATAGCTGGTTGATTTGCCAAGAGGAAGTGATGACAGAAAAGACCTAATGAAACCAAATGGTAATTAACTGATGCTCATAGAGTTAATGTCAAGCCCAGGATTTCAGAATGCCTTAAAAGTAGGTGTATGCACTCTTGCTGTGCAGGTGGGAATGGCGGGAAGGCTGCAGAGGCAATGAATCACGTAGAGAAGCCAGGATTTGCAACACCTGGAGCACCGTGAATTCCAGATAACCCTACCTCTTTTGCAAGGCTTATTTCAGAACTAGTTCTTAACACACTTGATCCTCTTTGGAATCACACTACCCTGCAATAAATTCAGAAAACTTTATAGCTGGAAAGGTCCTAGGAGACGATGAAGTATTTTTAAGGTGAAGAAACTGGAGTTCATAAGTTTGGCTTTCCTCAGGGTCACATTAGAAATTATTAGCAGAGTCTAAAACCCAGATCTCTTAATTTCTATTTCTCTAGTATGAGTTATGCTGGTCTTTTTCTAAAAATAGAGAGTTAACTTTAAGTAGAATGAATAAGGTCGCCTAAAAATAAATTGGGCAAATGTGTGATATTATGATACACAATCCAACAACACTGGGTAGTGTGAAATAATAGAGGTTTTATTTATTAAGGAAAAAAGAAAATCTAACCATGATAACTCTCTTTATTAGTGTACAATGATTTTCTTAGTTTAGATTCTTTGACCCAGGAAGCTAAAATTTGAAAACAAAAAACCAGAAAAGCCTCTTGCTTCCCATCTGCCTTTGCTTCTTTCCTTTCCCTTAGAGTTTCCTGTTTCCCACACACAGGAAATGGATTCAGAGGGCAAATTCGGTCTCATGTGTATCAACTATTCACCACAGAAGTGCATAGCTTTAGATAAGACCAGCACATCAAAGAGGGGCGTGGTTTGTTGGGATGTGAAGAAGGGAGAGGCTGAGAAAACAAAATCATTTTTTCTCCTGATCATGGTCCTTATGAAGTTTTTTGACTCAGTAAACTCCTCTTGGTTTTAATAAAGATTAGCTAGGTTGAAAAGACTGATGACTTATTATGTATTTCACCATGACATTTTCATAGATCTTTTATTAAACTAGGTTAGTGAGGGCTTACTTTTCAGAAAAAAAGGCATAAAGTAAACAGAAGAAAAGGTATCCTATTCATAATTTCTTAGAAATTACTTTGCCCAGACTTTAATTTAGAAAAATGTTCCCTCTTACGAGGCAGATAAATGATTTCAAAGTAAGATTTGGTAATGTACAGGATTATATTTTTAAATATCACAGCTTTTCTTAGTTTACTTTTGCATCATGCAACCCATGATTCATCTGTTGAGTTCACTTCAAGGGTTTCAAAACTCTCGTCAGATGTTTTTTAAAAGGGAATTCTGGGAAGGATCTGGGCAAAAAAAATGGGACCTGGAATGATTTGTGTGTTCATTCAATTATCCATCTATTTGTGAATTCAGCAAACATTTATTTAGCATCTATTGTGTGCTTAGCATTATGTCAGATGCTGAGAATATGAAAATAAGTAAGATATGGTTTCTTCCTTTAAGAACTCATAAGCAATTGAGTTCTGTTTCTCCAGCCCTGGTCATTCCTCAATGAGAGAAAGAGAGGTGAAAATAAAGAAAAGAACATGAAAAGATGCTCAATATCATTGTAGGGAAATGCAAATAAAAACCACAATGAGGTACCATTTTACACTCACTAGGATAATTTTACCAAAAATGACAGACAATAACGAGTGTTGGCAAAGACGTGTGCTCAGGTGTACATATAAAGACATACTTATAAAGCACAAAGTAACTTTAAAGCAGAAAAGTAACTCAATTATGAAAACAAGCACCTTCCTGGTAAAGGCAGATGGAATATAGATATTAACATTGTCAGGAAAGCTACATCTTGACCTCTTACACCTCAAGGTTATGTACAGTTGATCCAACAGAGTAAAGACTTTTGAGTTCTTGGTATCAAGTATAGAAGACAGAGATAAGGGAAAATAAAGTACAAGGCATTTCGCTCTAATCTCACATGTGAGAACTAATTGTAGTACAGTTGGACACTGCGCTGCTTGTGGGACATACCTTGGGAGCGGCCACACACGGTGTCTGAGAACACTAGCCAGAATTGGGAAGATGCAGGTAATTCACCTCACCTCACATTCCCTCACCTATCTCACCAGACCTGCTGGCTTTAACTTTTGGCATCAGCGGCAGGTCTCTGAAGATTTCTTTCTCTCTGTAGTCAAACCATTTCTGTAAATGGTCAAACTAACCTTTAAGGTTCTTGTGAACACTGGAGTCCAACAATAATTCAATCAGTGCATGGAATGGCCTCCTTCCATTTTTTGACTGCTAGGCTGACAGGTGGTTTGCTTTATTCTCTTATTTCTCCTCGATCATCTTCTTGGTGGGTGGAGGTGATTAAATGTCTTTGGTTAAATCATCAAACCTTCTACAGAAACATATGCTTAAGTTGGTGGCAGTTGCTTACTTGATCATACTCGTGCACCCCACCCATTCCTTTCTTTTCTCGAGAATATTAACTCTGAATCATCTTATTTATCCAAAACAGTCAGTGCAGGCAATGATACATCAATCATTATGCATAAGTCCATCATTCGTCATTAAACAACTTCTGCGAGGGAATGACATCCCACACATAATGACTAGGTAGGTGGGGATGCTCTTAAGCTTACTGAACATGCTTGACAACATCATGTGCAAACCAATTCTACTAGAGAGCTTAACCACTTCTAGCTGTTCTATTTCAGTGTCTCCATCTTTTTTCCTCTTTCATACTCATCAGATGAGTGGCCAATATATTGGCCAATATGCTCGAGTAAGGAAAATGCATTAGTTCTGTTGCCAGGAGTGGACACTGGTAGTAATTATAACGTTAGTTTTAAGTTCTGACTGGAATCAAATAGAAGAGATATAATCTTTGAAGCTACACTCTTCATCTGAAGAACTAAATCTGCAAATTGTCCCAGGTGACTGCTAAAGGAGCCTGATTATTAACCCTCCAGAAAACAATTAAGACCCCTGACAATATGTGGTAGTTCAAGGATGATACATTTTCCTCAATTCTTATTTGCTCAGGTGCATTAGTTTTCAGATTAATAAACTATGCTATCACTATATCAAACATATTTTTATAAAAGCAAACTCCATTTGTTTGTTCAACACAGGACTTGGAGATTTTTTCAGTTGACATTTGGCAATGTCTGGTTAATTGCTAAGTACTATCCTGTATATAAAATAGGTTGACATGGTAAAATATTATTAACTTTAAAAAAATACTTTTTTGGGTAACAACTTTATTAGGATACAATTCACATACCATACAATTCAATGGCTTTTATCATATTCACAGAATTGTGAAACAATCACCACAATCAATTTTAGAATATTTTCATCATCCCAAAAAGAAACTTCATACCTTTAAAGATCACACTGCCCCATTCCCCTCTGCCTTAGGCAACCACCAATCTACTTTCTGTTTCTACAAATTGACCTAATATGGACATTTCATATACATGGAACCATATAATATGTGGTCTTTTGTGATTGGCTTTTCACTTAGCATAATGTTTTCAAAGTTTACCCATGTTGCAGCTAACATTAATTTTAGAAATTTTATTCTCAGTGGGACTTGAGAATGAAATGCGCGTAGAAGGGGGAAGCTTTGTATGTTTGCACTGCCAATCGTGCAACAGGTAGTACACTTGGCTTCTTGGTTTATACTAGATTCAATGCTTTCTCCTCTATGGCTAAAATCAGAAGCCTGGCTAGTTCAATTCTCTTGAGGGAATTATAATAGCATCTTAGGTCCTAGGAGGAGAAACACTGGGACCTCTTGTCACCTTGGCAGACACATGGCCCTTCGGGAATAGAATATAAAACAGATTCATCTTGAAGATAGGTCTAAGGCAGAAGCCTGCCTAGGAGGGTAGATGTAGGAAAAGAGGAGAGGAGCTGAGTTCAGAGATCGCTTCCAATCTGGCTAATCTCACCTTCTGTATAAGGCTACTTGCCTAGCAGAACCAGTCCTGGCATCTTGAGGGAGAAGCTGTTATCTCTGATAGTGGAAAATAGTTTGGGCAGCTCAAAAAAGTGAAGAAGTTCCATGTTGCTCATTCATCAACTCAGAGCCAGCAAGAACCCTGAGTGGCTTAGGACAGGATACCGCGTGGGACTATATTTTAACACCCCTAAGGAAGCTACATCATCAGCATTCTTCTGATTTTGTATTGAACCTCCTCAATTCATCTTGCAGCTCAGATCCTTCTGATTGAAGCTTTATTTCCACTGGCACTTTCTTCCCTATGCCATTTCTTTATATACTTAAAAAGCTTGAAAGGCTAATCCTGATTCCTTTTACATTTAATTCTTGGTGTTATGTAACAAGCTTTACATCATGTTAATCTTTAACCTTCTGATAAACACTATATTAATTAATTAAGCCATCCATCCATTTGTTCATTTAACAAACATTTGCAGGCCTACTGTGTGTAAGAAACTGAAAACAGCGTTGCCTCTGTAGGCCTTTTATTGCCGTCTGCTAATCCCCAGCAGAGCTGCCCCAGGGAGCTCCCACTTCATAAACTCTTTCCTCAGAACAACCATTGTCTTCCTGCCCTCTCTACCCACTTCTTGGAATCATCGAGCATCTTCCCTTTATGCTTTGCCCTGTGGCTGGCTGGGCCCACAGTGCTGGGCGACAGCTGACACTGGATCCCAAGGCTTCAAGCTCTACAGCATTGCAGGGGCAGAGAAGGAGGACAGGTTGGAGGTGTCAATCTAGAAAAGGAAGTGAGGACAAAAAGAGAAGGGACTCTGGATTTCCATCTAAAAGTTTTAGGGCAGCAAAAGAAACAAAGCCAGTTTTGGATTATTTCTTCTGACTCAAGAATTCTTGAAACTAAAACAAATTTTTT